TTTTTTTTTTAAATATCTACTTTTCTTCACTTGTGATAATTTTTTTTCCAGAACTTGTCATCTTTCGGATTTCGATACAATTTATCATGTCATAATACATTTTCTCGTGACCAGCAGCGTTTCCATAAAATGTATGCTCATGAAGTTTTCTGATTATAACGAAAAAAAATTAGAGTCTGAGTCCTTTTATTGTTGATATCAGTATCTTGGGGTGCAACCTTTGGCTTCAATTATCTTATCTCCTTCCAAAAACCTCTTATGAGTTTTTATTAGTAGTGCAAGTCATCACATTAGGCCAACATTTCCTTTCTTTTAACTCCTGATAGGCAAAGCTGTATCCTTGGATGTTCCATTGACTCTTTATCAGGACATCTATTGATCAAATTACCCCGGTATTCGGGCAGAAAACCAAAAGTATGTTATTACGTTACAATTGGATATTATCATAGTTACTAAACAACTGATGACTTGGTGCATTTATTTATTTGTATTGTTCGTACGGTTGACTCGAATAGATATAATTCTGTGGTATCAATTATCGTCTAAGACGGTTTTAAATTTCCATTTTAATGCCTAACACGTTAACTAATAACGTTTTTATTTATACACTGTATCAGTCCACGTTTTACTATAGTAGAAGGAACTGTTGAAACTGAAGTGAAAAAATGTTAATACCATTCTTTGAAACTTATGGATCAATAGAAGTGGAAAAGGAAGTTAAATTAACTCTATTTTAGGCATAGTACGAACTTGTGTATGAAGTTGAGCGATGGTGTAGATACATAAGAAGTTATAAATATTTTTTCGCATTGGCAGACTCAAATGCTTTATTCTTCTTTATTCTTTATTCTATGTCACTCACAACTTAATTTTCGGGCCAGCACTTCAATATTTTTTTTTGGTATCATGTGCAATTATAAAAAATGTGTTTTAAATTTTTAAAATCCCACAGGTAATGAATGGCTTGAGAGTTAGTTAATCAAGATGTCCACACTATGAAATAATTCCCAAAATTGTTTAAAATTTGTCTATCATCCATTTTAGGATATAGAACAATTTCGCTCTTGTCTTTATAGAGGAATGTGTTCAAGTATGTTCTTAATTCCTTTTTAACAATCGCTCGATAGTTTACAAACATCACGGATGTCCAATCCCCCAAGGTCGATGATAAATAACACACTCCCCTCTCTTCCTCCCAAGATATTTATGGTCTCTTCTTAAAAGTAATGCAAGCGAAAGTAGAATTTTTAAAATTGTAGATCAAATACAATTTCTCTTTATTTTTTTCGCCCCTACTCCTTCTTTTCGACTGTACGGTTTTTTTTCCTGGGCCAGGGGAGACGGCAGAGGTTCAATGCTAGAGTTAAAAGACTCAACTCATAATCTTCAGTTTATCAGGTTGCACAGCAATACGTGTTTTGCACATGCGTTAGCCTGCTTGCCTCCATATATTTACGTGTACAATTACACTAGCTGCTTTCTGTTCCATGTTTTCCTCTTGTCTCCTGATTTGAAACTTTAAACTTTTTTCATTCTGAATATTCATACCTCTCTATAAAAATTCAAAATGTCCATCCCTCAAAAACTTTAGAGGAGCAACTTACGCTAACTCCTTCAAACTTCCTTCAGGGTATCTTTGTCAGACAATGTCATTAGATACAGTGATAGGTGGGCGTGTTGCAGCGTTGCTCGCTTTATTATCGAGTCTAGCGACACCGGTTTGAATCCGGCCTGTCGGGTTGAAAAAATATGGTGCAGTGCTCTAATCACACAACTTTCACTTACCACTCTACTTTGTGTAAAAATTTCATAGGTTGATTGATTTTTTTAGATGCAAAAACCTCTAGGTTATAGAACCTGGATAATAAAATAATTCTAATATTAAAATATTTAGATAATAGTAACATATATAAGGAACCGAATGTAAACTTATAGACGATACATATTTAAAATAATTGATTACCATATGTTTTCCTACACGTCTGATTCAGGGGTCTCTAAACTACAGCCCGCAATAACTTCCAATAAGGTCCGCGAAGCGAAAGTTTCTTTGATTACATAGTAACCTACTTAAAACTATTTGAAAATATGAAATTTAGTTAATATTCTCAATAAGAATTTATTACAACATTTAGTACACGAGTTGTTTCTTTAAGCAAGCTCATTTCACAACTGATGTGTCATTTATTGAACAAGATTGTTTTTTTTTTCATCACAAGCTATGGCACGCGGGACTTAGTAGAGTTCTCAATGCGTGCCCGCGGGACTTCATGAGGTCTGAATGTGTCCGCGGGCCAAAACGTTTGGAGATAAGTTTAATCTAATACATGTATACGTTTTTCGTCACAAGTATTTCGAGAAGAATGCTAGTGATAAAGGATGCCACTAAATTTATTATATTTTATTGTGATATTTTTAAAAGCTGAATAATCTTACGCACAACTATGTTACCTGTACCATTACAACCCATGAAAGTTCTTGGGTTCATCAGTGCAATATGAGGGAAGTACTGTTACAAGGCTAACGATTGTGCAGGGAGAAGATTGAGCCGATGTACGCTCAACCACTAGGTATTCTCTCTTAATTAATGATTTAACTAAGAATACCCACTTTACAGAGGCTGGGAGTGCCGCCACAGGAGGGTCTTCTGGCCCCAGGGTCGATCCACATCTAATGAAAAATTACTAGTCATCAGCCAGATTCGAACCATGGACCTTGAACTCTGGAAGTCAGTGCTCACCCACTGAGCTTCCCCGCTCCCTGTAAACTATGTTACGCATGGTACTCAATAACAACCAGGAATGGCGAACGCGAAGAACGATGAGTTACAGGAGGAGCTATATGAAGATGGCAATGTTGTGAGAACAATAATTAGTAGATTAAGTTGCGCGATCAAAATTTTTTATTCCTAAAGCCCTTTTAAATGTAATTACACGAACAATAATACTTTAAGAGATAATTTTTTTTCGATAAAACATGGTTGGTTATATTTTATCATTTTGGGGAGGCTTCAATCCGAAAGCCCCCCGGTAGATCCGCCCGTGCTACGAACCATGAAGGTTCTTGGGTTTTTGAATTTTAACAGGTTTTTGAATTTTTGAGTGGGCCGAATTTCGATGGGTTCATGAATTTTCGGACTATGAGACAAGGTAAAAACATGGAACAGATCACAGCAAGTGTATATGATTTACGAATTTTCTAGTTCTATCATAGATTAATCTGTTTTTAAGAAAAGGTGAGCAATAAAATATCTTGGGAGGTTCTTGTGCCATTGACCTTGGGGGGTGGGTACCCCTGATGGGCATGCTCACCTGATGCCTCCAGATCATATATTCAGAAAATTATTAGAAGAGCAAATTTACACAATGCTTGCAGACAGACCAAAACTTAAATGAGCTGATGGAGTAGAAGCAAATGCTCGAGCTATTCTTGGAGTCCACGATTGGAAGGCACCTGTACTTCTCAGAGATGACTGCCGGTTGAAGCTACAGGAGACCCTGACTCTATATGAGTTGTAGCACCAACAAAGAAGAAGATGAAACACTGATATTTAATTTTTAAAAGCCGTAATCGAGATAATTAAATATTAAATAATATCACTGGAAGTATTTATTAAAAATGCATATGAATATGTATCGGAAAATGTTCGTCCCTCATCTTAAGCACTCGTTTGTTTAAAAGACCATCTTGAACTATTGCCAAACTAGAGGGCGGGTTCGGATTTCTTCGTCTCATTAATCGAGTCTTTTTGGCAATTCTCGCTACCTCATTACCATCCCTTATTTTTCCTTTACTTTATTACCAAATTCTTTCATATTTCATAAGTATTTCAGAGAAATTTTGAAAAATTGGCGTTTAAGCCTAGTCAGACTGAATAGATGAGGATCGAACCTATTTTAAAATAAAGTCCAATTAATTATACATTAATATACCGAGTTTAATCAAAATTGTTCGGGTCGTTTTTGAGAAAATTGCAAAAATTTGTAAAATCAAAGATATAAAGCGGAATTAGCGATTGGAAAAAGTTGCAAGCATATACCTCGCTTAAATACGTAATATCAGTTTCATAGCACTTTTAGATTTTAAGCTTAGGCTGTTAATATACACCATTTTGTGGGACTTGGTTATTTGATTGGTTGTTTTGATATTTGTGTACAAACATATCCAGGTTATCAACACCCAATCAACAAAATACTACTTTTAAACTATTTAACTGGTAGGTTTAAAAACCAACAACTAAAATAACAAACTTGAAAAAAATGAAAGAAAGAAGTGAAAAAAAAATGAAGAAATGAAATAAAAGAAACCGAAATAAAATAAGAATTGGCAGAGGATTATTAGTTGTAGACTAGTTAAATATACTTTATTTGGACTCAAGGATCATCAAAATGTATATTCCTTTTGAAAACTCAGATTTGAACATTTTTTTGGTAATAACCCAGTTTTTATTTATAATCACCATATAGACCAAAATTGTATTAATTACTGGTATGATATGGAACATTCATGAATGCCATCATTAAAAAATAAATAACAAAAGGAAGGAGTGTTGAATAAATTAGAAACAAATAAATATAAATAACTTCATTTATTAGTTATTGTCATAACATCTGCACTAAAGTGCACAGTACTAATGTTTGAACATTTCAGTAATATTTTTTCAAAGAAAAAATAATTGAAACAAATTACAATTTCATAAAAATCAGTATTTCTTTGAGTGAAACTGTCAATCAATATGATTCATATGATATCCTCGACAATGAAACTAATAATAGGATTTTATTGATGTTTTATTATATATATCAAAAGAATAATTAATATTTTGAAAAACAATTATCATAATTACATTTCAATACTTAACAAAAAAAAAAAGAAATATCAGAGTTGTCCAATACAAAAAAATGTACAAATATAACGATCATTTTTTTCTTTTATAAATATATATAATACAGTTAAAATTAAATAATATATACAATAGTGAAGTAACTTATAATAAAAAATTACTCTATAATCCTCGGAGGTTTGGAAGACGTTTTGGATCGATCCTTTAAATGTGGATAAAGTTTAGCTTTTAGTCTTCCACCTGGCAATACCTGAGCATTAGCCAAACCAGCAAAGTCTGGTCTCGGTTTTATCCTACAAAACTTCGAAACCCAAAGTTCCAAAACTGTTTTATTCTGCATGTGATGAACTGGATCGGGCGAAAGCGGAGAATCGGTTGTTGCTCGAATCACTGACACTCTTTCAGATCCCTTGGAAGTTAATCTATAGGAAGGTAGAAATAATATAAATATTTAAAAAAAAAAAGTTAAATAAATATAAAATTTATTAAGTTAATAATTATTAAACCATTTATAAACAGGTACTAGATAAAGATTTGGTTCTAGAGTAAGCCACTACAGTCAATATTATGGGAAGGTTAGCTTCAATATTCAAAAATAGGTTACTGTAAAGGAATGGCCACATATTTGGCAAACATTTGAGGAAGGTGGGAACCATACTGATTGGCCAGTACGGATTCCTGAACATTCTAGTAAATGTATGCCATATGTGTGGTTGTACGGTATGGCTGAATCGGAATAACCAATGTATTTTTTCAGTATTGGAATAGTTAATCCAACATTACATAAACCCTCGATTTACCAATTCATCCTGAACAAATTAATGAATTTTATTATTAATCGTAAATAGTAAACGATTTATAATATATATAAAATACACTTGTATATTGTATATAATATACAATAAAATATTATTTCAACATGTGAAATCACCTTCAAAATAAATATATTTGTTATTATTTATTTTGAAAATTTTGGGTTGTCCGGAAATCCTCTATATAACAAATCGTTAATGTTTACTGGATTATTCATTTGTATGAATGTCAACATTTATTAATCCTCTTTCAAACAATAACGTTTGTTTACCTCTGAAGCATGTCACTGCTTGGAAATAATTAAGTCTTTACTAAGATGTCAAAACGTGATTTTTGTATAATTTTTTTTACGAGTTTAAACTGGCCTGAATGAGGTTGAGATGGCCAACAACATCAATTAAGTATGGTGGGAGAGCAGTATTAATGAGTGTACTGTTCAATGGTGGTTCAAAAAATTTTGGGAGGAAGACTTCAGCCTTGAAGAAAAAGAAGGTCGTGGAAGGACTTCCTCTCTTGATGACAACTGCAAGCTTGGTGGAAGAAAACCCCAGGAAAACAGTTAGAGAACTTGCAGAGAAACTTACCCTTAGCAAATTGATCGTTGATGTCCACCTCAAAGAAGCCAAATTAATATATGGAAAGATAAAAAAGCTTGAAAGTTGGAATCTACATGCATTAAACGACTGCAAAAAAAAAAAAAAACAAAAAAAAAACAGCGTTATGAAGTTTGTGCTAAACTTTTTTGTGGAAACAAAAACGACCCTTTTCTGTTCTGAATTGTTACTTGTGATGAAAAGTGGATGCTTTATGATAACAATAGACATTCTGGACAGTGGCTCGACAAAGGAGAAGCAGCAGAACATTTACCAAATCTCCATCTCACCAAAAAATAAGATAGTTACTGTTGTACTTGTTAACAGTAAAATCTGTTTTTATGTTGAAAAAAAAAAAATAAAATAAAAAATATGTAATCTTACATAAAAGGTTAGCTAATATCTGACTGTTTTTGGAATAGAAATTGGAATAGGAGGGTTTTGAATGTAGATAGGGATAAAGAATACCACATATGGTGGAAGAAAACCACAGAACATTTGTTCGAGAACTGGCAGAAAAACTTAATTTTAGCAAATTGGCCGTCGATGACCACCTCGAGGCGATTGGAAAGATAAAAAAGCTTGAAAGTTGGGTTCTACACACATTAAACAACCGTAAAAAAAAAACAGCGTTATGAAGTTTGTGCTACACTTCTTTGCTAAAACAAAAACGACCCTTTTCTCCACAGAATTGTTACTTGTGATGAAAAGTGGATACTTTACGATAACAGTAGACGTTCTGGAGTTCTAGTTGCTTGACAAAGGAGAAGCAGCAGAACATTTTCCAATGCCCCAACTCACCAAAAAAAGTGGGACGGCAACTGTTTGGGCTTCATTTGGTTTGATAGACTAGAGTTTCTTAAATTCTGGAGAAACCATCAATGGTGAATCGTATTGTAACCAAATCAATACAATGCATCAGAAATTGGCAATAATGAAGCCATTATTACTTTGGTCAGTTGGAAGGGGCTAATTTAGTTGCACGACAAGGCCCAGCCACATGTTTCCCGTTTGACATCACAAAAACTGTTGGAGCTTGGATATGAAACTCTGCCACATCCACCCTACTCTCCAGACTGGATTATCATTTTTTATGGACCACTACTTATGTGACGCTGTGTGAACAAGTCGGTTTATATCCAAACTATAACAAAACCAAAATAATGTCAAATAGGGAGCCAAAAGAAATAAAAATAAATAAATACACCTTAGAATATGTAGACGAATATGTGTATCTAGGCCAGCTGGTGTCCTTCTCGGATAGAGCAACAAAAGAAGTACAGAGAAGAATCACAATGGGATGGAACAAGTTTTGGTCACTGAGGCACATAATGAAAGGAGATTTAGATGTGGATCTTAAAAGACAGACCTTCGATAGCTGTATCCTCCCAGTAGTGGCATATGGTTCTCAAACTTGGTCGTTAACTAAGGCCCACGAGAGAAAAATCCAAGTGTGGCAGAACAGTATTGAGAGGAGTATTATGAAGGTAAATAAAAGAGACAAAATAAGATGCACTAAACTAAGGAAAGAAACAGGCCTCAAAGATACAATTTTACAGTTGAGGAAAATTAAATGGAAATGGGCTGGTCACCTCTTACGTAGCAACGATGTTAGATGGTCGAAAATAACAACCGAGTGGACGCCATATGATCTAAAAAGGAAGAGAGGCCGACCAGTGAAGAGATGGTGCGATGTATTCAGGCTGAATGGGACCCCTCTGGTGGAGAGACGCTAAAGACAGGGTTATATGGAAAAAGAAGTGGACAGAGCTCACGGACCCCGCTTCTCAACAGGGCTAGTCACCCAGAGAAGTGCTGACTACTACTCCCTCACGGGAAAGCCTGTGCAGGAAGAAAGACATAGAAGAAGAAGTGTATAATAGTGTATGTGTGTGTGCGTATCCATGTAGATATGCATGCTATTTTATATTAGTAGTTATAAAAATAAAAACCATTTGCACATATGTAACTACTTATTTTGCATAATAAAAGCTATTTCATTTCATTTCACTTATGTGACAAAAAATTTAATGGACAAAGGGAATTAAAAAAGTTGCCAACACATTGGTAGAAATGTATTAATAGAAGTGGAGACTATTTTGATTAAATTAAACAGTTGTAAATCTTTCTTTTTAAACAAAAATTTTGCATTATTTTCCGGACACTCCATAATTTATTAAAGAACAGTTTATTAATTTATTTATTTAATACATTTCTATTAATCTTTCTTTTTAAACAAAAATTTTGCATTATTTTCCGGACACTCCATAATTTATTAAAGAACAGTTTATTAATTTATTTTGGATAAACAAATAAAATATAAATCATTTTGATGAATTTTGTTATTAGCTAAGATGGAGTTATTAATAACAATAGCGAAAACAAAATAACTAGAAAACAATTCAATAACATATTTTAAAAAAATAAAAATGTACAATTCCATTGAAAATACGGTGCACAATAAATAAATAGAGTTAATACAAGTACCTACATATGAACTATTATATAACGTGACTGCACATATAAAGAATCTACTAATTGATAACATTCTAATAACAGTTCTATACAAGAAGATTCCGAGGGCATCTTCTTTTCAGATGCCTAGAGGATTATCAAGAATTATAGATGAAGCAACCTTAGAACTAGAGAGTTCAGATGGGTCTGGAGTTTATTATACAATAACAGGTATTTGGATTGTGCCATACTGACAACATATTCGAAACAAATGCTAACTATATATGAAAAATTTTCAATCCTGCACTAAAGCGATTTTTATTGTAATTAAATATTTTTAAATAGTGAATAAAAAATCTTTAACTATTCATAAAATCTCATATTAGTGTGGGAATTAAACCATCCTAATTGTTTGGACTCAATTGATAATGATATTAGAGTGATGATTTTCAGATTCGATAATTAGCATTTGTATCGACTATATGTAACATGAAGGTTATTATGGGTGATTTTATTTGAGAAAAAGTAAGGAAGATTGAGAATTTTTTAAAGGATATTGGATTGCAAAGTTTGGATATTAAAGAAATTCAATAGTGGAGCTTGACACAGTAAGTCTAAATTTCAACCAAAAATTAAGCCTTATTATAAGTCATTCAAATAAGCTTTTTTAATTCATTGGAAGCATGTGGGGTTTGTATATTAAGTGTTAAAACTGGAAATCTTCAGCAGTTTTTTTGTCATTTCAATTTTGTATGAAGATTCCAAGTAAGATACCTAAGATGGAGTTTTAGGTACATTATCAAAGATAACTGGAGTATTGTTGAAGGAAACTGTAAGACAGGAAGGCATAGGTTTTGTAAAGTTATTTCTTCCCTTTTTTTTTTTTTTTAACTCATGTTTGACATCATGATATTTTATATCTTTAAATAGCATATTTTAGAAAGTGCATTATATTTTTTTCTTTGATACATAGTTTATTCTGTTGGGACTATTTTATATTACATTTAAATTAACAAAGGAAACGATGGATTTAAAATAGATATAACATGATCAGATATGAAAATACTTACTGATCGAGCTCTCGAAGCGCTTGGTCCAACTCCACTTTATCTCCTAAATCGGAAGGTGAATCTTTATTCCTAACTTCCAACAAGCAGTTTAAAATATTAATATGTTTATCAGTGATACAATGTGCCCTAAGGAAAGCCTCAAGTTCAGACCACAGTTGTTTATACTGTTCTTCTCTCGAACTAAAACAGATTACATAAAATTTAAAAATCCAAACAGATAATTAAACACAATATAATAATTGATGCTAAGTATAAATTAAGTAATTCATCTTTTAAAAAAGAAATTAGGTTAGTAATCATGGTAATTAATAACTTAATGTAGCAAAATCTGAAGGATAAGTATGTAAAATTAAACATAAATTACTTTTAATATTGAAATATAAATCAATATTTTTAGTTTCCATTGGGAGAGGGGTAGCTCAGAGGTAGGGTACTGAGCTTCCAATGCTAAAGGTCCCAGGTTCGAGTCCTGGCTCATGGCAGAAAAATAATTTATTGTTTTATTGGCCGTGGGGTGACCCAGGGTATGAAGACCCACACCCAGCCTCTAAAAAGTGGGTACCCTTAATTAGAATAATTAATTAAGGGGAAAAACCTGGGTGATTGAGCGTGATCTCAATCAAGTCACCTCCTTGCACAAACGTGGACCAAGAAACAGTGCTTTTCCTAAATAGTACTGTATCCAAGACCCTTCATGGATTGTATTGGTACAGGTATATTTTATTTCTACTTTCAAATCCGAGTTTTCTCACTTGAGTTTATAATTGGTAAGTACCAAGTCTGTAAGTATATATATGTGATTAGTCTAGCTTAAAAAAGGCAAAGCTGTATGGAACTGAAATGAGTATTTAAGGGAGGTATATGAGTGAGATGTTATAGCAACTTTTTCGTTAAAATCAAGCCACCAGAACTACCACTTTATATAATCTATTTTAAAATTTTTGACAACTCAAAAATGACTATCAATTTTGATACATTACTATTATTATTAAGGTACAAATAAATCAATTTTAATATCGTTTTGGTCTTATCCATATTGAAATAATCATACAGGTCTTAAATACTGAATATAGGTTCCTCTAAACTACATTTATCTTTATTTTGTTAACAGTCTTTCACAGTTAGCATTAATATGAAATGGTTAAAAATAAACTTTGAAAGAATTTCATATCTAACAAAAAAAGAAAAAAAAATGAAATATTTTTTCAAGGCTGAAAACTAATTTCTCAAAATTAATATCAAACAAATAAAGGTAATAGACAGTGATGGAAATTTATGATTATTATTATTTAATGGATACTGTATGTTTCCATGGAAACTAAATGCAAGTTCCAAAATAAATGAAAACTTTTACAATTATTTTTAAGCAAAAATATATAAGAAACCACAAATATAAAACTAAAGTTTTGGAATTATTTAAAAACTATTTCAAGCAGCTTTTATGAATTGGAAAAGCTGGTAATGATAAGATAACTTTTTATATTTTGTCTGATTACAAATTTAAACTTTTTAAAGTTTAAATCTTCAATAGCTCTATTTCAACAGAAATTTAATTATTTAATTAATATGGTAAGTGAAAGTTACGTGATGAAGTGCATTTCATACCAGATTTTTTAATGATTAGTAATTAGTAAAATAAATGGAAATGAACAATAAGAATATATATACTTACTAGGTATTAAGAGTATAAATTTTAAATTTTCAGACATTAACCAAGCTTAATTTATACTGCTTAAAATAGACAATAAAACATATGAATCACTATAGAGACAAGCACTAAGTATATTAAAACTATGCCATATTATATTATAATTAATACTTATAATATGATATAGTATAAAAATTCCAACAAATAGGATAGATACAAATTTTAAAATTTTTCAATAAAATCTCTGTAAAAACTTGTCACCGATAAAAAAAATATGGCACATTAGCCTGTCTCTTTTGTAGCATGTATTTAAAACACTGCTAATTAAATAAATTTAATAAATACATTGGCTTATTGCACAAAAGTCACTTTTTATTTAATTCTTTTACTTATAAATAATCCCAGTAATAGCAAAGAATAATAAACTTTTAAAGTTTATCTACTTATCTCTAATGTTAGTGCAAAAGTTCATATGTAATTATTTTATATGTTTATTCTACTTATGCTGAAAGTGACATTTTTTAGTCTGCAATTGCAATAGTATAGAGAAATAAAATAGTAAATTATACTAATAAATCATAAAGAAATAATCACTTTTTTTGCTCTTTAGTAAAAAATACAACTCAATTTTTATAAACAACTTTTTGCACTAACAGTAGCATTATGTGCCTCTGATTTATACTATTCACTTGGTTGATCGATATCAAAAACTAAAAACAATTATTTCTTTTTAATCGATAGAAACTTCCATTCTTGAATAAGTTCCTGTATATTTTTTACAATCTGTTTCTTACGAGCTCCAACATTTAACAAAACCATTCCAGTCAGCTATATCTAAGTCTATAGCCACATTTTCATCAAACAATACAAGAAATAATTCAAGAGAACTACTAACTAATATAAAAGTGTAAAAAAAGAAAAGGGAGTTTTTCTAATTTGTTAGCTGACACCTCATTTATAAAATATATAATAATATATTTAACAAACTAAACAATTACATTATAATATATAACAATATATTAGAGAGCGGAGTGGCCGAATGGGCTAACGCGTGTGCACTGCACCGCCGTTGCCCGGCAACCGGATATATGATTCTATGATATGAAAATAGTCATGAGTTCGCGTCCCGGTCCCAGAGGGGATTTTAAATTCCCCGCCATCACCCTCTGGTCCGGGAAAATCCCGTATAGCCTAAAAGGCGAGGTAGGGAAGAACAGGGAAAAAAAAAAAAAACAAAAAAAAACAATATATCAAAGTATATAACTATAATGTATAATAAAACATTAACTTATATTACACAATCTTAGGGGGCGGGGTGGCCGAATAGGCTAAAGCGTGTGCACAGCACCGCTAGTTGCCTGGCAACCGGATAACAGAGATTTGAGGTGATATAAAAAGTACGAGTTCGCGTCCCGGTGCCGGAGGGGATTTTAAATTCCCCGCCCTCACCCCCCGGCAAAAATCATAAATGGAAAAAAAAGTCGTTCAGGAGAACTCATATAACATATTGTCTAACCACATAAATTCAAAACGTTTGATAATATGATTAAATTAATTTATTTGTTTAGACTGGAATCCTAACATTAAAATGTAATGTGGGAAATGGTTTTAGAATTTTATTTATTGATAGTGATGAATTTTAATATTTTTTTTTGTTTTCTTAGAATGGAACCCTGATGATAAATAGACCTGGAGCCAGGGCCAAAAATCGTTCTCATCGCAAGCGAAAGTTTGATCGTAAATTGCGACATTGTATGTAATTCTGAGTAAAAAGAACCTTATCTGCCGTTCCAGAGACGCTGCTTTAAAAATTGGAGGCTGATTTAAAGAATATTAGGCCCAAAATTTGAGGATTGAAAAGGGAAATCCATTGTGAAAAATATGAAAAAAGTTTTTAGTTTTATTACTTTTATATATGGGTTTAGACATGTAAAAGACAAAAATCGCTAACGTGAGCCACCAAGGAAAAACTTTTTAGAGCCAAAAAAGTCAGATTTTTTCAATATTTTTTTGTTTTTCACCTATGACTCTTTAACGATGCATCAAAGCAAAAATTTATTATTTAATAAATTAAGAATAAATTTATACCAGTCTATTAATAAAATAAGGTAGTATAGATTGATTTTCCGACTATCAGGTGCAATGGCTTGAGATATCAACAGAAAAGGAATTTCATAGAGAAGTGATAAATTCCAATTTTTACTTTCACTTACGTATATATGTAATATATAGTAAGGGTAAATATTGCGATCGTGAAAATTTTCGAATCTCAGTTTTCAACAGAAATACATGTTTTGAGTTCCCCTGAGTCCAAACAACCAAGTGTCGCAAAATGGTCTGTGTGTGTGTGTGTGTGTGTATCTGTGTGTATGTGTTAACAGTCTAGCTCATAAATAAAAAGTAGTACAAAACTGATATTAAGTATTTAAGGTTTGTATATGAGCCAGATGTGACAGTAACTTTTTCGTTAAAATCGTCTAACCGGAAGTGCCACTTTATATGAACGCTGAAACACATTTTTACAATTTTCTCAAAAACCGCTCTAACGATTTTGATTAAACTCGGTGTATCATTGTATAATTAAGTGGTCTTTAATATCATTTAGGTCTTATCCCCGTTGATGTCACTTTACAGGGCTTAAATGCCCATTGTTCATATATGTCTTCCTTATATGGTACCTTTAATATGGTTTATTTTAAAAAGTTAATCATTTAGCATTATTCAGAGTTACGAAAAAATGCTACATATAACTTTTGAAAGAATTTGATAAGTTAATAAAGGAGAAAAAAAAATAAAAATGCAGAAAAACCTGCGTTGCTATAGACTGTAGCGTCTAAACGAATGTACCGATTTCAAGGAAACTTCGCTAAAGTAATTTTCTCGACACCCTTTAAATTTATCTATATAACATACTTCAACGGAAAGAAGCTAGAAATTTTTTTTCGAGGGATGGTAAAATTAAATTGCGAATAACTCAAAAAGTATACACTTTTTTGTGGATATTGTATATCGTTTTTTAAAAGTTTATGGAATTTCCTAAAAAAACAAAAAAAATGTGTTAAAATCGGACAATCAGGAGGAAAGATATGGTCTCTAGTTTTTTAACCTGAAGAGGCGAAAATTTGTATAAATTTAAAATATACTTTTTTAATTGTTGAGACTAAAAAAAATTTTTTTCTACAGATGTTTAATAAAGTATCTTACCTCAGAACATCTTTCATAAGAAATAAGTATCTAAATTTATACCTTTATTCTCAGTTCTATATTTCAACACAACAATCACCACCTCCGGAATCAACTTACTCACTGTCAGCATAGATAACTTTTTGAACTATAAGTATTACTAAATTGACATTACTCAAAAATGTAAAAATTGGAGTTAGTCATTCTGTAGTTTATAAAAGCAAAGAAAGTTGTGTGGTTTATAAAAGCAGATGGAGTGACTAGATTTTTATTGCCTACCGTCGATATATTAAATAGACATTTTGTAATTATAATGGTCTTAATGACTTGTTATCTGTAAGCTTTAAGTTTAGGGGGGCGGTGTGGCCGAATAGGCTAAAGCGTGTGTAACAGCACCGCTAGTTGCCTGGCAACCGGATAACAGAGATTTGAGATGAAATAAAAAGTACGAGTTCGCGTCTCGGTGCCGGAGGGGATTTTAAATTTCCCAGCCCTCACCCCCCCCCTCCTCCCCCCGGCCCGGGAAAATTCCGTATAGCCTAAAAGGCGAGGTAGGGAAGAACAAAAAAAAAAAAAAAAAAAAAAAAAAAAAAAAAAAAAGCTTTAAGTTTAGCTCCATTTAAAATGCACTTAAAATTTTATAATAGCCCAGCATTGCCAGAACATAATTTCTATTCAAAGTAGAGCGGTAAGTGAAAGTTGTGTGTTGCGAGCACCAGATTTTTATCTTTAAATTTGTACAATAATAGTACAGACCATTTTTATCAAATTATTAACATCCTTCTGAAACTTTGTAAATAGCTTCATCTGATTGTAATCTACAAATTTTTTTTTTTACGACAATTCTCGGAATTAGAGCGTTTTCAATTTGCAGGTCAGCAAACTTTGTCTATTAAATTAGGAACTAAAAACTCCTGAACACCCATTTGCTTTCACTAGGATCGTAAGATAATTTGATCACGAAATTGATAAAAAAGAAGGTCTACAAAAATATTGGGACATTTGGCCTATATAATCTCGTTATTTTGACAATTTGGGATGGTGGTTAGGTCACACCAAACGGCTAAATATTTTTGAAGGCCACCTGTTCTATCAATTTTGTGATCAAATTATCTTACGATCCAAGTGTACCTTCTGCGACTTTCTTTATTAGATACCATTTTTTCAAATTTTTTTTTTTGTTTTCCAGCAATATATTATACGTATACCTTCAGACTATTATTTCTGGAGATTTGTTTTCGAACAAAACAATCGTAAAAAATATAAAAAGTAAAAAAAAATTATTGAAATCCATTGATTTTGTGTAGCGATATAGTGTTTGAAGCTACGAGTAATTGAAAGTTTCCTAAATTCTCTATTAAATGAAAAAAATTGGTGCGCACAACACACAACTTACACTTACTCTTTGAACTTTGCTCAACTTTGAATAAAAATTATTTTCTGGCTATGTTGGGCTATTATAAAATTTTTGAATTGCATTTTTAACTGAGCTAAAGCTAAAAGATTGCAGCTAACAAATCATAAATACTATTAAAATAACAAAAGTCTTATTTATTATATCACCAGTTGATTATGGATTGTTCGATCCGTTGATTATGGATTGTACGACTATTAGTTATTAAACTGTTATTTTCCATTGCAAAGTTTATTAAAACGGAATTAAGAGATTTGCATTGTCTGTCAAAAGTTGTCACAGTAATTGTAGGTGGATTCTGTTGGAATATCGCAAAAGGAAAATTTATCAAATTACTCACTAATTTAATTTTCTAAAATGTTACATGATGATTTTTTTGAATAAATGGACGATAAATACCTACATATTTAAACATAATATCAGATCTAGAATTATTAAACTACAGTAAATATATTTTAAGGTTATAAACGTATCTATGAAATATTTTTATATTTCACTTCTTCTTTCACAAAAGTACAATGAATTAGTAGTGGATACTGTTGGAATATCACAAACGGAAGATTCATCAAATTATTTACTAATTTAATTTTCTAAAAAGTTACATGACAATTTTTTGGAATAAACTTTGATACCTAATTATTTAAATATATTAGATCTATAATCACTAAACTACAATAAATGTATTTTAGGTTACAAACATATGCTTTATACATCAATGAAATGATTTTATATTTTACTTCTTCTTTCACACAAGTACAATGAAATAGTTTTTTTAATAATGCCATTGCCTTGATGAGGTGGATTTTAAATACTTTCTACAAATGTAAAAATATTTTTTCAAGTTTACATTTAGTTAGTAAATTTCATTTAATTTCCTTGAAAACATGTGATTTATGTTAAATATTATCAGTTTTCAAAAATTATTATTTATAATTTTTTTGCCGCTCTCCATCACCTTCTACAACTTTCTATATTAGACCTTGTTTTTTTTTTTCTAAAATTTTCCACTTTCCAATGATATATTATAAGTATACCTTTCGACTTGTATTTCCAGAGATTCATTTTCGACCTGTATAAGCATTTTTATTTTTTCTCCTTTATTTAATTATCAAATTCTTTTAAAAGTTATATTTCGTACTTTACACGAAGACGCGTATGAACATTGGGAGTTTAAGCCCTATAAAGTGACATCAATGGGAATAAGACCCAAATGATATTAAAGACCACTTAATTATACAATTATACACCGAGTTTAATAAAAATCAAGTAGAACTTCATTGAATACACGTCTCATTTCGTCGACTTGAGGCCTCTATGATCGAGAGAGGAGGAGTTTATATTATTTATGGATGGTGTTTTTGATCGGCATCCCATATCATCGTTAATTTTTCACCAAACACAAGATTGAGCCACCAATTTCGAAGGCTTTCTGCTCCTTCAGGCAGGCAAAATAGTCCAATCACCCCGAAAATTCAGGCAAACAAGTTATGAAAGAAAACAAACTAAAAAATTACATACTTTTCCCTTGGTTATGCCCATGATTATATAAAAGATTACTAAATTCCCAACAAAATGAAAAAAAAAATCATCTAAATCGATTAGAATTTTTTCCAATATTTTTTTTTCATTTTATTATTTATTTTTTCTTATTTTCGATTAATATTCATTAGGAAAGTTCTATTATAACCCATTTCATTTGAAAATTACTATATATTTGGCATATAGCTATAGTATCAGTACGACGTTGAAACAATTTGTACAAACCGAAGGAGGAAATTGGGTTCAAATATTTTTTTAAAGGGAAAACAGAGTTGAGATTTGTATTTTGTACCTCTATAAAAGCCTCAAATACGAATTTTCATAGAAATAAAAAATTTTTTTTGCACCAAATTGGAACCAAGTCTCTCCCCTTCGAGACTACCAAATTCCCTACAAAATGAAAAAAAAAATCATTGAAATCGGACAATATTTAGCAAAGATACAGCTTAATGAAATTTGTATACATGTTGGTTCCAAACAGATATGAAGATTTAAATTAATTTTTGTTTTCTTTGTTGATTTTATTTATCGATAAAGGAACATTTGATTTCTTTAACTTTTGATATGTTGCATTATTTTATTTTCTTATTAATTTGGCTTTTGATAACAATAAGCTGTGCGAATTTTTCGCACGGACATACTACTCTATCTTAAATATGTAATATCAGTTTCATATGACTTTTCAATTTCGAGCTAGAGTGTTCACATACGCACAGACCATTTTTCAGGACTTGGTTATTTGGACTCAGGGGACCTCAAAACGTGTATTTCCGTTGAAAACTCAGATTAAAAAATTTTCACGATCGCAATACTTACACTTACTATATATAGGTAAGTGAAAGTAAAAATTATCGAAATTGATAAGAATCATGTCAGATAAGATATTTGGTTGCAATTTTTTAAATATTTCTTTGGTTTATATTATGTAGGAGAGCTCTGTTGTGACTAATTTATATTTGAAATACAGCTATAATATAAGTACAATATGGGAATGAAACAATTTGTACTGACCGAAGGAGCAAAGTGGTATCAATTTTTTTTTTAAGGAGAAACAAATTAGAGATTGGTGCTTTGCAGCTGGAATTTCTTTAGTTATTGCTTCCTATTCAACAACAATAAAAAATCACTTAATTAAAAAACACAATATTTAAATTTCCTACTTTTCTGCCAAAAATCGGACCAATGTTTATATAAACTTTTTTGTAGCTCTATAAACGTTATAAATGTTTATTATCATTCCTATAAATATTTTCCTCAACTTGCAGGACACCCTGTATATAGAAAATAAGAAACTTAAACTAGAATAACAAGAAAGAACCTTGCTCTTCAGTACTAACACATAAGAGATTTCAGCGAGTACAATATTGGTTTAGTATAAGTTTACAGATAGCTGAATCTTATTGATGGATTACTAAACTGAAAGAATATTTTCTAGTGGGGTAACCTAATTATTAATAAAGAAAACTATAACTGCAACAGTTGTTATGATTCCCAAATATCGTTTCTACATGGCAAGTATTGGGCGAAGAAGAATCTAATGTGAGAGTTATCACTCGGTTATATTATACTAATATCACCAATAACACTAATATAAAAACAAATAAAGGGCAATTTTGATGTTAATTATACATACCTCTTGGGTCCTTTGCCACGCTGACCACTCGATACTGAATGAAGAGGTTCATGCTTCGCTTCGAGCCCTACTAGAGAATAAATGCACTGTTTACATTGCTGGACCTCTTGTTCCCGAAGCTCAGGTTGTAACATCAGGGTCAATATTGGCTCCAAGTACTGCAATACATTATTACAATAAAAAATAATTTTTTTTATACTTGGAAAAATTTTTTTAAAGCAAAATAAAAATTGTTTAATTTTACCTGTTTAAAATTAAATATAACAGTAGATGAAATAGTCATCGGCCAAAATCTAGTATGCCTTTCTAATCTTCCCCTGGTCTTCTTCACAGTTGAGCTTTGGGATTTAGAACTCTTACAAGGCAACAGTTTGTTTTGTTGCATAAAGAGACCAAAATCCTAAAAAATTAAATTAAGATTTGAAATGGTAATTCGTTTTATTTTATTTAACAGTTACTTAATTAAAAAATATATAAATCAAGGAGATCCTTAACTCTAAACTACATGGATGAGCAGAAGTATAGTAAAAAATTTATAGTATGTTTCATGAAATGGCAGTTTTGTAGGTAACATTAATAAAAAAAATAAAATAAATAAACCTGACAAAATAACATTATCTATCCAAAGGGAATATATCTGCATATCTAGTTAAACACATTTGTAGATTGTTACAGAAATCGTTATCTACTGTTAGTGCAAAAAGTCGTTTGGGAAAATTGAGTTTTTTTACAGGAGAGCATAAAAACTGATTATTCCTTTATCATTTATTCGTATAATTTCATATTTTATTCCCCTTGTCTATATTCCATAGTAGCAGATTACTTATAGCAATTGCAAGTCACAAAATGTCACCTTTAGCAGAAACAGAATAAGAATGAATAATTGTTACATACGACCTTTTGCACTATTAGTAGCGATATACAAATATTTAAATTTGGTGTAGGTAGTTGAGTGCCTTCCACTCCTAAACAAAACTCAAGACTTTCAGATGTTGATCTTTACCAATCAGATGAAAAATATTTGCAAGGAGCTGTATTGTGTAGTAAAAACACGCTACTACTAAACCAATATTAAATATTTGTAGACATCAATTTAACTAACAAATGACCAAGGTGTTTAAGTAGACTTTCTTTTTCTAAATTAAATTATTTTTTATTTTAAGACATGGACAATTTCATATATCATCACAAATTTATAAGATATGTGAAACAAAAAAAAAATTGAGAATACTTAATTTTTTTTCAGTATTTTGAGCTCAAATTATTTCAAATTCCTTTCACTGAATGAGCTGAGCCATCAAACTTGTAAATCAATCCAGCCGTTTGCTAAAAAAATATCTGATATCGGGCAGATTAAAAACTATTTAGCTGAATAATTAATTAATGTTTTAATTTCAAATTGTTTCAAAACACTTATAGAACATCACTGAATAATTTGAACATTCAAACTTAAAAATTGGTCCAGCCGTTCAATAAAAAAATCGTTGCATATGAACAACTGGTCAACCTAAACACATTACCCTGCTTTTGGCTTCCATGTAGTTTAGTAAATATGAGTTAATTCCATGACTTTGTATTTATTATTAAATTTATAACATTAATCATCATTAAAATTTTTAACTCCATCACGAATAAGTGTTACTTAATTTGCATCTGTTAATGTAGAGTAATCTCAGGATGTTTAATGGTTAATAGTTTATTTATGTAATTATAAAAATTACACAATTCATGACAATAACTTATTTATTGATATATTGTGGATTATTATTAGTTAATGAATTTTTTTTTTAAGTTAAGACTTATCTATTTTATTTGAAAATGCTGAAATATCCTGTATTTATATGCTGAGTGATACATTTAGTTGAGTTAGCAACTCAATATAGTTGAGCAGTTTTATAATTTTAATGTAGTTCTCTCTTAACATAAAATAAAAATATCAATTTAAAAATATTAAGGGAGTTACAGTTGCATGATATATTGGTTGAAACTATTTTATTGAGTAATATAACATTCTGTCACAATAAGGAAAATATTCTGTATTAGTAATTTTTTTTTTTTTTTTTTCGGTTGGCTCTACAGACCTTGTAGATCTTTCGCCGCCTGAACCAGCCTTCTCCACCTCTGCCTATTTTGGGCTACTGTTTTCCAGTTTGCTGCATGGCGCTCAGCCGTGTCTTTGTTTATCCTATCTATCCATCTGGTTTTTGGCCTCCCATGTGGTCTCTTGCCTACTACTCTGACATACAGGCGTCCTGATGGATTACTACGAGCTACATGCCCTGCTCATCTTAATCTCCTTGCCTTCATGTCATGAGATATTGACTGAGCCGTTTCTTTCAACAGTTCTTTATTGTTCCTTCTCCTCCATGTGTCAAGATTCTGGTCCCATATAGGTCCTGTTATCCTATGTAGTATTTTTCTTTCGAATTTCTCAATTATGGCTTCTAATGTGCCGGTTAGAGCCGAGGTTTCACAACCGTACAGCAGAACTGGCTTAATCACAGCGTTGTACACCCTTATTTTGAGATTTCTGGAGATTTTTCTGGATTTCAGTACCTTTGAAAGAGAGAAGAAAGATCTGTTCACACTTGTTATTCGCTGGTCTATCTCAGTTGATCATTTATTGAGGTTATTGTGGAGCCGAGGTATTTGAATCGGTCTACTTTCGGGAATGACTTAGAATCCACGCAGATCGTGTTATTAGGGTGGATGTTTCGGCTAACTATCATATATTTTGTTTTATCTACGTTGACCTGTAGTCTGATTTGCTCTGCTTCTTATAAGAGTTCGAGCGAGTCTCTCAATATCCTCTTGATTACTTCCGAGGACAGCTATATCATCGGCATATGCTAGGATTTTATGTTTCATTCTAACATGCACCCCTCCATCTTCGTGTGATGTTATTCTTATTACTTTCTCTAGTGCTAAGTTGAACAGCATCGGCGAGAGTCCATCTCCCTGCCTCAAACCCGTTTGAACTTCAAAGGCTTCAGTTATGTCTCCTTGTATTAGTACCCTGCATTTAGGATCATTTGTACACGCCTTTGTCAACCTCACTAATTTCCCGAGAACACCCAGCTCAGTCGTTTTTTTTTTTTTTGTCCTCCCCTTCCTCGCCTTTAAGGCTATACAGGAGTTTTCCCGGGCCAGAGAGTGTGGGCGGGGATTTAAAAACTCCTCCGGGCACCAGGACGCAGAACTCATGACTATTTTTTTTATCAAAGTCTTATGTATCAGGTTGCTGGGCAACGGCGGTGCAGTGCACACGCGTTAGCCCATTCGGCCACCCCGCCCACTTCCTAGCTCAGTCATTTTCCAGAGACAGTTTCTGTCAACAGAGTCATAGGCTGCTTTGAAGTCGACAAATAATGCGTGTACGTCCTGATCTACTTCCCATCGTTTTTCACGTACTTTTTTCAGGATGAATATCTGATCTAGCGTACTCCTCCCTCTCCTGAATCCTGTTTGATGGTCGCCTATTATGTTTTCATAATACGGATATATCCAATTTAACAGAATATTAGTCATTATTTTATAGGTGACCGGAAGAAGTGCTATGCCTCTGTAATTGTCACATTCATACATGGAGCCCTTCTTAAGGATAGGACAGATCAACCCTGTGTTCCATGCTTCTGGTATCCGCTCCTTCACCCATATCTTCTGGATTAAATCCAACAGCTTGGCTCTGAGTTCTTCTCTCCCATCCTTGAACAATTCTGATGGTAGGTTGTCCATCCCTGGACCTGGAGCCTTTCTTCTTTTAAGCCTGCCGATAGCTATTTCCACATCCAGAATATCTAGTTTTTCAACCTCAAGTGGATCGATGTCCTCAGTGTTGTCCATGTCTTCTTCGTTTGTGGGGTGCCCTTGGTTAAGCAGCTGCTGGAAATGTTCCTTCCTGATGCTTAGGATCTTTTCTTTTGATGTCGTCAATTTGCCATCTTTCCCTCGCATTTGTGTATTTCTCGCTTTATATCCTACCCTTTCTTTCCTGATATCTACGAAGAATTCGCATATATTTCCAGCCTGCCAGTTTTCCTCAATAGTTTGTAATCTTTCTTTGGGGAATTCTCTTTTGGCTGTTCATATTATTTTGTTGTCTTTTTCCTGGCGGCTGTGTATTTGTCCAGCATAGCTTGATCAGTTTGTAAGCAGAAGACTTTTCTTCTTTCCTCCACTGCCTTTTCACATGCTTCTGTGAACCATTTCTTGGCTTTTCTTTTTTCCTGAATCTCTATTATTTCCTTAGCTGTTTGTTTTAGCCCTTAACCACTTATACATCAATTCTCACATACACGAGGGGAGGGAGCAATCTCGGGCAGCGTGTCTTTCCGTGGCGAGCGGTCACCCATCCAAATACTGACCACGCTCGACGTTGCTTAGCTTTGATTATGTTGCAAGCGCCTTAGCCCGTACAACTACCCCGGCTCCCTATTATTAGTAATTATATATATATACACTGTTCAACATTAATTTATTTAAAGGCAAGCTAATCTAGTTCTACTAGTTCAGGGAAAAGAAAATGGCTGCTCTGTATTTTCCTCAAAAAGGAAAATCCCAAAGAATTTTGTTTTGGCAAGTAGCGTTTGGATGAAGTGAAGAGAGGGTGGGAGAAGGGATCCTGGCTCCAGTGGGTAAAACCCAGTAATAGTATTACCATCTTGGAAGTTGTTATTTGGCTAGAGGACTAGTTGTTTGGAATCACAAGAGAGAGAATATACCAGTGAGCTTAAGTTGAGCAGATGAAAGTGTCACCATTTTGGAAGTTGTGTTTGGCAGAACATTGGAAAGCGTTTGAAGACAAATGAATTCAGTGCCACAAAGGAAGAAACAGTGTTTATAGAAAAAAGATTAGCTTACCAATTCATACTTGAATTTATTTAAAAATCAAACAGTGTTTAGTGTAGTTAATATTATTATAATATTGTTTGAGTGTTTTGATCTGATTGTCAGTAACCCATACCTTCAGATAAAATAATTATACAGTTCAGATTAATATATCAATATTCTTATAATTTTGTTTATTTTTTAACAAACTCTGATTTATTTTGGAATTGTCCCAACAGTGTGAAGTGATCTTTCGAGGTAATAATATTAGTTTAAAATATAAGAGATATTACAATATATATGTATTCTTAAGATTAAGGCATCTTACAAAAAAAAAAAAAAAAAAAAAAAAAAGTAGAAATATAACAAAAGCAAGCATATTATTGAAGCAAGTGTTGAAAAGAATACTACACACAAGTAGCACTGGAACTTAAAAGATGATTTCAGTAAAACTTACTTTCCAGTTATTAGGAGGTTTTTACTCCCATTTTAATTTATTTTGTGTATAAAATTTAGAATAAATTATTTATGTCAAATATCTTATGCCCTGGCTTTTGTGCAGTATAAAATCTTTAAAATTTTAACTGTACTTTTTTGATTACAGTTACAGATATTATATTTACTAATTAATATATTAAAATAATATATTTAACTGATATTAAATCATGAGTTTCATTCTCCAAATAAATATATTTACGAAAAACTAGTGAGAACTGAATAAAATTTATTTTAAAATATAATTAATCAATTAATTAAATTAAATTACTGTAATCCTGTAGTCAGTGACTCGACCACCGATTCCTTCACTTATAGAAGGTGGATCTTCGTGCAATGACCTTCCAATGGACAGGCTGTGCATGTATATTTGACCTGAGTGTGCAGCGAGTAAGTGTGATAAGGATTTAGTTCCATTCCGTCTTATCACTTCCAACATAACAGACCTTCCTCCGATTAAGAAATTAATTAAACAAGATGAAGGTCGGCTGGAAATAGAGAAAGGAAAATTAAATATACATAAAAAACAAATATTTTGATAATAATTTAACTACTTCAGGAAGTTTTATTTTTAAATTTGTTATTAAAATATGCACAAAGTCTCCCTCATTTATTCATTAAACAAATATTTTAGAGCTTTCTTTTCTCATCTACAGGATATTTTAATTATTATAACATTATACAATAGTAATAAATATCAACAAGTTATTACATTCGTTATAGTTACCTTACTGTGTTTTTCAATTTTAAAATTTATAATTAATTTACTTTTCCTCATAATCTTCTTTCAATAAATAAAAGTTACATGAAAAAAATTGTTTAATTTCAACAGTGAAATAATAAAATTTCCATAATGAAGCCTATCTTAACTACAAGTTTTAATTCAACATCACACATTTGACTAACTGATAAAACTTACTAAGATATTTGTCTTACTCCCCACTCCATTGTTTATTTTATTCTTGATTTGTCCCATTATAACATAATTTTTTTTTTAATAATATACTTCTTTTAAGTAATTTATTCCTCTTATTTTGAACTATAATTAATTTGTTGTAATATATTTTAGCTGCAAAATTATTGCTTATATTTTTAGCCTAAATTTTAAAATTAAATAACATCTTTAATGTTCTTAGTTATGTAAGTAGATTTCAATAATTTTTCAAATTTTGCTTATTTTAATCTATTTTTTCCCTATTATATATACTTAGTTTATAAATAATCAATAATTAAACTTTGCCTATTCATCATAGGTTTTTTTTTTATTATTTACATCATATTTCTGTCTATGAATAAACAAGGAAGATTCATTATTAATTATAGAATATTAATTACATATTAATTATAGAATAAATATTTTAATAATAACCAAGTATTAAGCGAATATTAACCTATTTACATCCACAGGAGTTATTCTAAACATTGAAATACAATTATGCATTTCAGACGCTGTGCAGCCTCTAGGAGTACACCATTTCAAAGTTATTGTCGAATATTCCATACCTTCTTTCCGTGTGCTTATTTGGTTGATATCTACGCCACAACCTGCAAAAAAAAAAAAAAAATAAAAAAAAAAATAATAATTTAGTTAACTAACAGCCATCATTAACGAACAGATTTTTTTGTACACTGAAAATAACATAATTATGCAAATGTGTTGAACAAATCTCATGTTCTTCTCAAAAACAGATATTTCTTAATTGCAGATTAGACATAAAAAATATATAGGATTCATCAATAGTATAGAATGTAGAAGTTAGCATAATGAATAAAGAATTTATAGGAGGCAGATTTGAAGTCGCTAGATACAATACAATAGGTGATATAAAACACTAGATTAAAATCTTGTAATAAAAAAATGGACAGAGAAACTAAGGCAACTAGATTAAAAACCTAGAAAGATTTATTATTTCTTAATGATTCAATTACAAAGATGGCAAGCACAGCCATTGGAAAACAGAATAAAGCAACTTTAATCAGTATAATAATGGAAGTATGAGAGTGGTAGTGGATCCTTAAGATAGATTATATACAACAATCTATTACCATCTACCTCTTCTTATAAGGCATTCTAATAATAATAATACAGTTGAAAAATTCTATATAATAAAGGCTTTTTTAAATAGGAAGTGCAAATGGAGAGACTTTTCATATTTTTTTTATTCATGTTACCACTTAATAGTTGGGTAAGAGTAGAGATTTTTTGGTTAAGACAATGAATATTTAGGTTGATATCAGATTTTTAAATTAAATAAAGATTTCTCACATTTGAATGTAAATGCTGAAAATTTGATGTTAAAAGGTTGAGGTATGGTATATAGTTGTGGGAAAAGTCAATGATTGTTAGAAAAAGTGAGTTAGAGAACATTGAAATGTTGTTGAAAGTGAAATATCATCCTAACTCACTTTTTCCAAATTGCATTGATAATTTCCTCAACCATATTACCCTATCTCAAACTTTTAACTCCAATTGTCAGCAACGACATTCAAATTTAAGATATTTTTATTCAATATAAAAGTCCAAGAAATCATCCAAAATATTCGTTATCATGACCAAAAAATCTCTATTGTTACCCATCTATTATTTTTTTTATATAGGAAGGGTTGACTTATATTTAGGGTTGAGCAAATATGGTTTAATTTAAAAGATGTTTAATCCAAAAATTAATTTTAGTCAATTAAGAAACAAAAAAAACAAAAAAAAACAAATTGTAACTAACAGAATAATTTTGACACACATACTACACAAGCCTGTAAGTACAATTTAATTAGGATGTGCAGTTGGAGGTAATTAGGACATTACCTGATTAATCTTGGCCTCAGACATATTCATAAAAACAAGCTAAAAACGTTAATCAGAACATTTCATTTTTGCCTTAAGCCTGCAATAAAAATTGATTGGAAAATCTACTTGATAAAATAAGAAATAAAGAGTAAATTTTGTCATATGAATAATTTTATGTTTTGCACTTACAGGCTTTTACGTTGTGACAGTCAATTTTTTCCTTTGAAGTTTTGACTAAAGGATATAAACCGAGAAAAATTTAAATAATGCACATAAATATAATATTATAATTAAACATAAAAACCTTTGAATAATGATTCATGTGCTTTTGCAGCATGAAAAATTTCAACATCATAATTTGCAGATGAACTGGCATTTTGTTCTTCTTTCATAGGAATCCCAGTCACAGTTGTACTCGCTAGGTTATAGTGTTGAAGAATAAGAGATGCCAATTTGTTAGCAAGACCGCAAGATGCTTTCACATTATGAGTTTCACTTTCCAAAATATTAGATACCTGAAATGTACATATTTCATAAGATATTTAAATATCAAAATAAGATAAACCTGTCTAAAACATATCTTCCATTAAGATATATGTACCAAAACCCATCCCACCCACCTTTCAGTAATTTCTATGCTATGGTGCTCAATTCTTATCATTTGTCCTAATATTCAGTCATCTATTGTGACAGTTTCGTGATATTTCTCTGTTTTGGAATTTATCCTTTTGTTCACTCTGAGCGATTGGAATCTTTTACTTATAACAATCGTGAGGGATTTTAAAAAAAAATAAATCACTCCTGTACAAATCAAACTCATGAAGGGTATTAGATTTAATATATTATAAGGGATTCTGTTTTTAAGCCAACGGTTGTACAAGGTGGTGGGTAAGGCTTTGCTCATCCAGTGCCTCATATATTTCTCACACAATTTAGGAAACACACTTACAGAGGCTAGATGTGCCACAGAAAGGTCTCTCAAACTCAGAAGGTCAATCCACTATTGATTATAACAGTATAAGTAATTACCAACAACAACTTTTGAAACTCAGGAGCGGGAACATCATAAGATATTTTTTGACAATAACCACAATATAATATTCCATGTTTTACATATCGTTGTTCATATAAATATAATTTATTTACTAGTGAATGATGATTCAAATTTTTCAAAATAAATACATAACATGTTATAGTAAATATATGATACAACAAACAACATAAAACTTTTCCAATTTCTTAATCTGCTAAAACACCAAAAACACATTGAAAACTCTTGTTTTAGATTATTATCTTAATTGAAAAAAAAAAATAACACAATTTTTACAATAAACAAAATCTATATTGTACTTGTGCTAGATTTTATAATTTTTTGTAATAAACTTCAAACTTCATTAAAAGAAGAGCATTAAATTTCAATTACCTATTACAATTACAATTGAATTGATTATTGCAGTATTAGTATATGGAATGGATATTTTTATAAGTTGTAAGTTGAGAATGTTCCTTGGTACATTGTTTATAGACAAATCTTTTAATGGAAAAAAATAATAATTGCACAAGTAAAAATCAATTGTTAAAATATTTTGTTGATTATTATCCTTTAAAATTTTAGATAAATAGTTGTACAATTTTTCTCAAAATCGTGAAAATATCACACATACCCCTTTTCTGAAATAACTGATTCAATTTTAGAATTAAAACCTATAAAATCAATAATTACCTTGTGCTTTGGTATATTTTCTGTTGCATTTGGCTGGATATTGAGAATAATAAGTTCACAGTGATCAATAGGAATTAATCTAAAAACAAAAAAAAAAAACTAATAATGAAATAAATTGTTCATATACATAGTATCTTTTACAGTAAACAGGAGAGAAAACTTCATTCATCACTCAATCCTAAAACAAACTACCTTCAAATTTTATTAATAAAATTATTTTTAAAAAACCATTCATTTATTTTTATAATGATCAACTACAAACAATAACTTGTAAAATATTATATCAATCAATTGATTGGGTAAAATTAATTAAATTAGTAATAAAAATAAAGTATATTTTGTTTATGAATTATTTTTTAAAAAGTTATCATTACTTGGTATTGTTGAGGATGTTAAACAGAACAGAAGCTGAATGCCCCGAAAATATATTTAGCATCTACTTATTTTATCAGAATCTTAAATTTCAAGCATAATAATAAACATGAACAACCTGTTGTATTACATAATATAAACTAAAAAAAAAATGTTCAGTTACTTAACACATTAGCGGTGGTTACGTTCCCAGGTGTGCTCTAGCTTTATATCAGATATAATGATTATTTACGTTTGTATCTATCTTTACACCTATCTAACTCCCATTCAAATATTTTTAAAAATGACTATTTTAGAGACATTGTAAGATAGGCAAAATTCGAAACAAACATCACAACCCAGGGACTGTTACCACAGTTAACGTGTTACAATATGACATAATTTTGTGATGACATCATTATTTTTAAGATAAAAGAGGTTTAAAGGGCGAAGAAATAAATTACAGAAGAATTAGATAAACCAAAACGCTTCAAAATCATGCAATAGTTATTTATGATAAAAATCAGAAATTTAAAGAAATAAAATAATCATTATTAACCCATTGACAATATGATCTCAGAGAATTTATATTAATATATAAAGTGTCCACAGAACTTTAAAATCTGAATAATCTGACAAAAGTAGGTACTGGTACTGCTACTGGTGGGGGAACTAGTCCGGCAAGTGAGCCCTATCGTAGTTCTTTTTTTCAAACCCTGACGGCCACCATTAGGTTGTGGCCGCGTACTTACCAGAGTGAGAATGTCAGATTCCATTTCCCAGGGCTGCTCAGAAATGAAAGTAACCGACCCAGGTAGAAATCGAACCCACAAAGTTCAGAACCGGGCACTCTAGACCCACTCCCCAACATCCTCCTTGGTAATCTTACTAGCTTAGGTTACTTTCCGTCCTCGAAAAAAGTAGGAAAGTAACCTAGGCTAGTAAGATCAAACATATATAAGTACATAAGCATATTAAACTTAAGAGAAACAACAAATCACTTGATGCATTATTTTTTTCTTTTTTAATAATACTTTGAAGTAATATCCACTACAAAATAAAAATGCATGACTGTACAACAATGTACTAACCATCCAAAATTTATTTGAAACAAATTAATTGAGATCTACTTACAGATCTGATGAGGAAGCGACTTTGTTTTCCTGAATAATCTCAGCTTGTAATTTCTCTTCAAGCAGTTTTATTTTTTCGTTGTCAGGAACTGATGTGATGCAAATAAGTCTGTTCCTATTTATCACCTACACAAAAAATGATAAAAATAAATTAGAAAACATAGCCCCCGCTTTTCAAGAGACGGATTTGAATCTTAAAATTATTTATTAATTTCAGTTAATTGAAGCACAACATCAGGTGGTTCCTCCTTCATAAATTAATATCATGCTTCATATTTTTACTTCACATTTATTTGTTGTATTGTAAGAACGCAGTTCTTAATTTGAATAATAAATAAAAATAAAATTTCTGACAAGTTATATTATAAAAAAAAAATATTGAATGATTTATTTAGGAGGAAATAACACCTTTACCAGATAAAAGAACATATCAATGTAATTAGGTAGTAGTATGAATTTTTCGATTTATATCTCAATGGAAATCAGTTTATAACAATAAAAATACAAAAAGTCTTGAATTTTCCTGATGTGTATTTTTATATTAGTTAAAGAAAAATGGTAGGAACGGAGGTACGTCAAGAGAGTAAAGACACACATGACAATGTCAGAAACTGCCAGCATCAAGCTCATACTGTTCCATTAAATTATTAATTAATAAATAAATTAATAAAAAAGGACTTTTTAACACATTCAATTAATACAAGAACTTAATGTATGTTTAAAAACTTAATTAATTACTTGGCTATTCCGTTTTCGCCACTACTTTGTTCCTCAGCTTTATTACCATATTTCTCATGTGGTCTGAGGCTTTTTTGATCCCACAAATAATTTTTATTTTATAAACTAAGTTTATTAATTACTCACAATCAATTATTATCATTCTGCACAGTTAAAACAACAAACAATTACAAATATTTAGCAATTTAACATGGCACTTTGTACAACACATAGTAGCCAAGTGTCTTTTATTGTAGTATTAAAACTATGTAGAGGTCTAAGAAATAATAACAAAATAACTAAACTTACTGGATAAGGGCATTCGTTCAATGAGGTCCGTTTTTCATGTTGCTGTTCGGAACACTCACACATTGCTTGGACAGCGGACTTCAAACCAGGGTAAATATTGTATGTTTCTCCACTCACAGCCGGAGATGGTGTGCCAATTACTGACAAACCATTCAAAAGCTGTAATAATTAAAACTGATGAAATGGGACTCAAATATTGATGAAAACAATAAATGTAAATAACCTAAAATGTATAGATGCCATTCATATCCCAAAAAGTGTATTTAATGAATGGAACTTCTACTATATAAATGACAGTTTTTAGTCCCTCAACAACAAAAATGAACAATAAAGCAGCATTTGTCTGGCTGCATAAAATACCACTTAATTAAATTATAAACTAAAGGATAAATAAATAAAAATATTATGTATGTAGATGATTAATAATTGAGGAGATGGAGGTATTCCAATGAGGTTAGGAAGGAGGCTGTATAATTGGAAATGGGTAAAGAATTTTTTAAAGAAATTCCACAATAAGGAATATAAAAATCAAGAACTATTTAAAAAGTGGATGGAGAAATGCAGGATGAGATCAAGAATGTGGTAGATTTTTTAGGTTCTCAAATAAAGATATTGTCAGAAAGTAGGGTTAAAACTCGCTCCTAATACCAGCGAGAGATGTAGAACTATCTGGGAACAAATAAACTGATTCCTACAGAGGAATTCAATAAAATTTTAGTCTCCCATCATGCTAATCAGATGATTCTAGATACCACTGGACATCATTTAAAGAAATGAGTCACAGCAACTTAAGAGCTTTTTAAGGATTTAGATGTATTTTTGGATGATTTGGAAAATATGGATACTCCATGTTAGGTATTAATAGAACCATTATATTTAAATACTAAAAATTATGCATCTTCGGCGTGATTAAAAGTCAATTCAACAGACAACTGATGTTGTCCTTGTTTTCATTTAGGAGTTAAATTTTATAATATATCTAATATCCTAAAGAAAGATGGAATAAAAAAAAAAATCAACTAACTGGTGTACAAACATAAAATATTTTATTATGTAAAGAAAAACATAAATAAAGGAATGAGTGCTGAAAGAAACAATAAAAATATAAACTAAATAAAATGTGAGAGTAAATATTAATTAATAAAAATATAAAATATAGTAACACAGTAACAACACTTGACTTAAAGGTAAAAAATAACAAGTAGTTATCGATATATTGGACTAAACAAGATTGATTAATTTAGTTACTACAAATCAGACAATCGAAAATAAAATGTCTATCCACCATACATGGTATATTTGAATTCAACAATTATGATTGGACAGTTTTTTAAAATAGTGATGGGATTGATGAATGAATGGTATTAAATCACAATATTGTTCCAATAGGTGGCTAAACCAAATCGTAATATAAAGGCAAGTTTGAAAATAGCTGAGTATGTCCAAAAGTAGGTAGAAGCGACTGATATTGCAGGTAATAAGGCCCTTTTCTCCTCTGAAAAGGAAAATCAAAGGGGGTTTGTATATTTTAGCGAGTGAAGCTATCAAATTAAACCGAGATTACAGCATTGAACATGGCTAAATGCTCGTCCAATGTCGGAATAAGCATGTACAGAACGATCCGTGTGATCTTAGCTCAGCCACCATGTTCGAATGACACTTGTAAAATTTAACCCATAAACTAATTTTGATCATGGGCATATCAATTTCTAGTTTAATAAATGAAATAATTCATTACGTACGTGATTTAAACTTTGCTGTGTTGGGCTCCATGAGTTAAGGGAGTGTCCTTTGGTATCACTGATAATGAATCTGACCTATAAACATAAACATTATAGACTGATGATGAAGATGGGATTAATGATTTGACAAATAAAATAAATATTGCTTACCAATTTTCCAGTTGGGAAGAGGTCCCACACAATACGACAGTACTCGATAGCTGCCTCAACACTACAAGTCCATAGTGTTTTTGCTATTGGAGCCAAAGGAATGACACCTGGACCTCGGGTTTTCGAAAAGTCAAATTCAATTAAGCTTTCACAATTTGTTCCAAAATATGGAGTGTGGTCCAACAAGAATATTGTTTTATGATTTGCTGGATAAATTGGAGGTGGTGGTTTCCTTTCACAAACTACATTTACAGAATACATTTCTAAAGAAATTTAATCCTAGTTCATATAATGCACTACTAGATTCTTATAAATCAGAAGTTTAAATGACTCATCTAGAATAGGTGGTCATTACAATTAGATAATGTAACTAATAGATTAAATTAAATCGAACATACGTGGTAAAATTACTATTGCACAATATTATATAATACCATTAATGTTACATTAACTTAACATAATTTTTAAAAACCAACAATAATATATCCATTTTCAGAAACGATGTATTTCTTTAGATTAAAATTAAATATTCATGTAAAACATAAACATACAAAGTTTAAATATTTCAAAAACATAATACGATTCAATAACACATTTTTTAAATAAAATCTATTGTTGATATGAATTTGACTTTAATTTATGATGAGAAGGTTACAACATAACCATAATGGAGGAAAACCTTCCAAATTGTAAACAACGTGCAAATGCAGTGTAGTTTTTGACCGATCACATTCACATTATTTATTTATCTTTATTTGCTAAAGTTTAGTTTGGAATTTTGTGAAAACAATTAAAAAGAATAATAAATAATATAATTAAATATTTTTGGCAATATTAAAATTTATAACAATTGAAATATGAACAAAGAAGCTGCCATTGGGAGGGTTGCTCCCTGTCCTGTATTTCTTGGTGAAGGTCCTTTTTTTGATCGTTTCTTTTGCTTCGCCGACCCAATCACTGGACGTGATTTTTCTCGTACTTTGTATCCATTTTTATGTATGTTTCAGTTCATTTCAACAACTTAATTGAGTTACCTATTCCTTCTGATCAGCGCCGGTCTTAGACATTTGGCGCTTTCGGACAATGAAGCCATTTTCCTCCCAAAAAATAAATTTATTTCTTCAATAGAGTATTACATTAATTAATATTTGAATTTTATTTCATACAATATGACTAATTCAGTTGCTTTATTAACAAGCTAAAATTAATTATTCTCATACGTTTTTTAAGTTTTATTTTATTTCTAACAAGCATAGGCGCAGACTTTCCATTCTGGTTGGAGGGGGCGATGATCCTCTCTCCCTTTCCCCCAAAAAACTCTCGGGAGTTTATATTATTATAAAAACTATAAGTGATAATTAAAATAATCAACATAATTATTGTATAACGAACAATAAAGTACTATTTTTTTTGTATGGGTGTTTTTATTTGAAGGATTGAGGCAATGAGATGAACTCTCAATTTTCCGAATCTTCAAATTTGCTGCGGGAAATGTGATAAAATCTTAACATAAAAATAGAAGAGCGGACATGAATAAATTACAAAATCCTAAAGGTATGCGGCTGCATCTAATCATCTATGAAGATAAAATACAATTTCAATAATAGGAACGTAGGCTGTAGTAAACCACTTGCGTACCTACTTCTAGCTCTTATTTTAGCCATCTAATCGACTTTTCTTATTTTCTTAGTTGATTTTAAATCACATATTTTATTCATTCATGTAGATTAATTGATTTTATTTAAATCTTCAGACCCGAAGTCGGCCCTATATGCTAACAAGTAGCGGAAGCACATCTCCAGGTGGGCGCCCAGGGCAGTCCTAAAGCCATACTGCTTCTGACCTGAGTTTATTTTAACAATAAGAACTTTTAACAAGTTCTTTATGTTTAATTTTCTTTAAATAAGTAATTTAACAAGATTGAGTTGCCGAATACCTTTTCTTAGCAATTTATTTTTTTAAATAAGTATTCAAAATTATTTTACCAATTATCTTACGTTCCTTTAAACAAAATCTAAATCGTAATTTTCATATAGAATTTTCTTTATTTTTTTTGTTGGTGAGTACGTGGTGAATTAAAGTTAATAATTTGATAAAAAGGGTTCAGTAACGTGGGCTATTTAGAATAAATGGTACATTTGAATTTTCCACTTGCTGCTAATGTTGACGACGCATAAAAATATTTTTTTTAAACGTAATATTGATTTTTCAATATCTATTAATTACATTAAAAGCTTTCTGTATTGGTTTTAAATATTAAATTAGATCAATTAAACTTTTCAAAATTGACAATCTCCTGATGTCTAGATAGGCTAAGAAGGTACATATAAGACATAAAAAAAATTATGTATATTCTACTGAGTTTTTCTTGATTAGTCTTCTATTTATAATTTTTTTTTTTTTTTTTTTTTTTTTTTTTTTAAATTTCTTTATTGAGTATTATAACAATCTGTCTGTTCGACATTGGTTATAGTGAGGTAGGATGACATTCACACCATATGTACAAAAAAATAAAATAAATAGAACAAAATAATAATCAAAAGTATATACAATAGACAATAAAATAAAATAACCTAAAAAATAAGAAAATTAAAACTAAGGAAAAAAAAAAAAAAAATAACATGCATACCTATATACAATCAGGCGAGGGAACTCCAGGAGAACCCTGCGCTACTCTTCCAACCGCGTCACTGGTACTAAAGCCAGCGGAGATTGGTCGAGAGCACTTTAGCCACATACACACATGTCTTGAGTGAAGAATCTGGCCATTGCCAGAACTCCAATTTATATAATTTACAAAAGGTCGCGAGGCCACTGCCGTTTCAACCTTCTTGGAGGATTATAGGGATGGGAGATGCTTGATAGGGATTGTGCAAGAGGATTTGGGTGGTAAGTAAGGTTCTGGTGAAATTTGGAGAACTTTTCTGGGATAAGGTCTAGGACAAATGGGATGTTAAGGTCATGATGTAGGGTTTTGTTGGATACATAGAAAGGAGCATCGACTATTGTTCGAAGGACTTTAGACTGGAAGGATTGGATGCGCTTGATGTTAGAAAATTTTGCTGATCCCCACAGTTCTAGTCCGTAAGTCCAAATAGGTTTCAGTATTGTCTTGTAGATCAGTAGCTTGTTTTCAATGGAAAGTTTAGATTTTCTGCTTAGTAGTCGGTATAGTTGGCCGTATCGTCGGTTGAGTTCTTGTCTTTTGAGTCTAGTATGCGGGTTCCAAGTTAGTCTTCGGTCTAAATGAAAGCCAAGATACCGGACTGTGTCTGAATAAGGAAGCTGGATGGAATTAAAGAGTACTGGTGGACAGGAATTGCGTCGGAGTGTAAAAGTAATGTGTTGGCATTTAGATTCATTAACTTTAATGCGCCAGTTATTACACCAGTGCTCAATCAAGGTGAGATGACTTTGGAGATTTAAGGATGCTATTTCGGGATCAGAGTTGGATGATAAGATTGCGGTGTCGTCAGCGAATGTTGCAAGAAAAGTATCGGGATGAACAGGGATGTCAGCAGTAAAGAGGATGTAAAGCACGGGACCCAAGACGCTGCCTTGGGGAACACCGGCTTTAACGGAGTAGATATTGGAAAATTCTGTTCCACAGCGAACTCGAAAGGAGCGGTCAGAGAGGTAGGATCGGAGGACTAGGTACAAGGACTGAGGTAAATGGATTTTAAGCTTGGAGAGCAGTCCGGAGTGCCATACCCGGTCAAATGCCTGTGCAATGTCCAGAAAGGCACCCGAACAGTATTCCTTGTTTTCTAGGGCTGAGGAAATATGATCAATAACTCGGAGTCCTTGTTGAACAGTAGAATGTTGAGAGCGAAAACCAAACTGATGGGAAGGGATATTTTGGGATTCTATAATGGGTAGGATTCGTTTCAAAAGGATCTTTTCAAAAATTTTTGAAAGGATTGGGAGTAGGCTGATTGGTCTATAGGATGTTGAGCTATTGAGAGGTTTTCCTGGTTTTGGGAAAAGGATAATAGTGGAGTGTTTCCATAACAGAGGGAAGTGGGTGGTGCGTAGGATACAATTGTAGATATATGTAAGGAATATGACTGCTTTGGATGGAAGTTGTCGAAGGATTTGAGGTGTAAGGAGATCATGTCCAGGAGCTTTACGGAGGATTAGTTTTTTTTAATTGAAATTTTACTTCGGAAGGATGAATAGCTTTTGGGGGCAAGGAAAGTGGGATTGGTGATGTAAGGAGTTATTTATAATTTAAGTACTTTTTACGACTCTCGAATGTGATATATGTAGGCAAAGAAGAAAGAGAATAATTCCAAGGAAAACTGAAAATGCCCTATTCAAGAGGTTTATTTGACCTAATTCAAAAACTTTGGTACTTAATGAACCCAGAATTTTATTAATGAGTTTTTTCTAAGTTCTCATTATCAAGATCTAGACTCTTCTACAGAACTATATTTCAGCTTTTGACAAAATTGGTGAAAATCGTCGTATTTTATCGTGCTATTTGAGTCACCCTTAACACAACCGGTACGTTATAGTGGATACAGAATTTATTGTTTTTAATTTATTGAAGAGTAATTATTTTTTTAGGAAGCACTGTTTAGGAATTACCAGGGGAAAAGAATAAAGTCCTAAAATTTTGAGTTTTTTTTCCCCCATCAAAGATTGTTTCGAGATGGTTTATGTTAACAGTTTTGTTTTTTATATGTTTGCATTCATGTATACAAGCTTTAAAAATAAAAGAATCTACCATAGCTTTAGACACATAACCACTTCTTTAGGTCCTCTATTGACTGGCAGGCTAGATTTGTTTTAATCAGAATGGCGTGCATTTTCCCAATTAACATCAAAAAGTCTCTGATAGAAATCAGAGAGTTTTGTATAATTCATATAACCCCTAACACTGCAATAATTGAAATGACTTCTCAAGTCACATTGACTCTTTAGTAGTGTCAATATCTTTAACTGACTTCATGATTCCTGATTCTTCTATTTTCCATGAATAGATACATCTTTACAGTTTCAGATGCCATATACTTGCTACCAGCAGTAATCTTAAGTAACATCTAACTGACTAACTTAATATCACTACAGTCCTAATTGGAAATTGGCCTCACTTAGAATTGATACCTATTCCTGCCTATCTTACCGGCTACATTCCCCATTCTCATACTCTCATCTGTCTCAAATCATCCTCTATGTCATCTAAACACTCTAGCCTTGGTCTTCCCACCAGTCTCTTTCCGCCTAGTCTGTTATTAATCAACTTTTTTGGTAGCCAC